ATCCCTGAGAACGCCAATGAACGTATGCTCCTTCTCTTTTCGCCTTCTTAATTTATTGATTGCTTCTTTCTTAACTGATTCTCTTTGTGGGGTTCGTTTTCAGATTGCCCAGGTCCTCAATCGGAGTCGGCCGGAAAATCCGATGCCTGCCAAGGTTGCCCTAACCAAGAAGCTTGTGCAACTGCCCCCAAGGGCCCCGACCCTGGTTGGTTTCTATTTCTCCCTCTTTATGCGCATCAAGTGTTATATTTTCATGTAGTTAATTGTATTTTTGTTTTCTTTCTTGGTGGGTTTATTTCTGGTCTTGTATAGTGTTTCTTCTGGGGATCAATTGTGATTTTTTAGACTAAACCTCGTAGTAAAACAAGTTGGGATTTTTAGTTAAGTCTGTAATATTCTTCTTTAAACTTTTTCGGTCAGTAAAGTTAAGTGAATAGTAAGAAGGAGCTCTTTGTTTTCACATTATCAAGGCTAATTTTGGGGTCTTTGCATGTCTTAGATGAAGCTTGGAGCTATCCCGGGATTGATTTTAGGAGTTGCTTCATTACTTTGGTTTTGAATTTCTACTATTTATGGATATGCAGTTGATGTTCAAGTTCTAAAGGCTTAATATTATATCAAATGGGAGAATTTCGTCACTTGTTGACTTGTAGTACCAGTACTTTTGACGGTATCCTGGGATTCGAACTTGGCATTTGCCTGAATTTGTCTTTGTTAATTTTATTTTACAAACGGGAGTTGTTTCATTTTGGAAATGGTAAAGAGGGTATTGATTTTTAGGGTTTTGTATTATCCATCTAATGGCGTTTAAAAGGGACTATATACAATGCTAAGGACATCCGTGGCTCGAAGCTTAAGCTTTCTTCTTTTCTTTAAGACAATCATTTGCTGCTGATGACTTGACCTGTGCTTAGAAGTGAGAACTGAGAATCAAAAAGTATAATTTGGAAAATGTATCTCTTCAAGTGTAAATTTGAAGTATGAAGGGGAAAGGAGAAAGAAAAAATCTTGATAGTACTAATTGACCTATTTTCTAGGAGGTCATTTTCTTTTATTTTTCCTTTTATTTGACCCTTGAGAGAGTTTTTATAGAAAGGATGGTCTGATATTTCTTTGATGGTTCAAAGACTTTGTCAATGAATCTTTCTTTGTAAGTTACATTCTAGTTTTTGATATGCATCTATATCATGAGCCTATAACTGGAAAAATATTAATAACTCTCTTCTAAACAGAAGGGTAACATTTTTTATGGAACTTATTCAATGGTCTGTTTATCTCACAACATATATGTGCATTGGTTTTTGCAGACTTGGTTGCAATTGCAGAACGAATGGCAACTGTTAAGCATAAGATACTGGTTTTATCTGGGAAAGGAGGAGTCGGCAAGAGCACTTTCTCTGCCCAACTCTCGTTTGCACTGGCAGCTATGGATTTCCAGGTGGGTCTTCTAGACATTGATATTTGTGGACCAAGCATCCCAAAGATGCTTGGTCTTGAAGGTCAAGAAATTCACCAGAGCAACCTTGGCTGGTCTCCTGTTTATGTTGAGTCCAACCTTGGAGTCATGTCAATTGGGTTTATGCTCCCCAACCCTGATGAAGCTGTCATATGGAGGGGTCCTCGCAAGAATGGGCTAATCAAGCAATTTCTGAAGGATGTATACTGGGGGGACCTCGATTTTCTGGTGGTCGATGCCCCTCCCGGGACCTCAGATGAGCACATCTCAATCGTCCAGTTCCTTCAGGCTACTGGCATAGATGGAGCAATCATAGTCACCACTCCACAACAGGTCTCTTTGATTGATGTCCGAAAAGAAGTGAGTTTCTGCAAGAAAGTTGGAGTTAAGGTTCTTGGAGTTGTTGAGAACATGAGTGGCCTGTGCCAGCCATTGACGGATTTCAGGTTCACTAGGATGACAGAGACTGGTGAACATGCAGATGTCACGGAAAAGGTCATAGAGTACATGAAGGAGAAAGCACCAGAATTGCTAGATCTAATTGCTACGAGTGAGGTATTTGACAGCAGTGGTGGTGGTGCAGCAAAAATGTGCAACGAGATGGAGGTACCCTTCCTGGGAAAGGTACCATTGGATCCACAGCTATGCAAGGCAGCTGAACAAGGTAAATCTTGCTTTGCAGAACAGAAATGCAGTGTGAGCGCCCCAGCACTGAAGAATATCATTGAGAGACTGGTGGCAAATAATTGGCAGGAAGAAATGTCTGTAGAAGAGTAGTTAAGGGTGCTGCTTCTATATTCAGTAATGCCTGTAGTGGCAAATTTCTTATCCCTTTAATAATTAAAAAAGAATATATGTAAATTTCTTTTAAAGTTAAAAAAAAAAAAAAAACATTTATCATTGCTTTCTTTAGTAATGATTATTTTCTGTTAAGTGAGTCTGAGAGCAGTCAGTTGTTCCATTAGAATATCCAACTGTTCTTTTGAATTTTTGAATCATCATCGAATTTGTGTACAAACTTTCATGCTGATCAATGAATTATTCTTATTCAACATAGGTTTTTCTCTTGTGGTAAAATTTTTTCAATCCACATTAAGCCTTGTTCAACATAAAGCTTTAACAGCATTTAAGCTTTGTGTAATACCACCGTCGTCTCATTTTTTTTTATTTAATCAAATATATAGTAGTAATAAATAATAATTTAATTTCCAAAAAAAAAAGAAGAAGCTAGCTTATCAATGTTTATTATAAAAAAATAATAAATGAGACTAAAATTTGATATTAGAATATGAGATTAATAATATAGTTTACGATATGTTAATTTAAAATATTAAAAAATAAATATTATATTATTTAATAATTAATTATTATATTTTTTAAAATTAATAATATTATATACATCAATTAATTTAATAATTAAATATAAACCACTTCATTAATCTCAAGCTTTTCCTTCTAAAATTTGTTCTCTCTATCATTAGTCTTACAATAATTTACTCATGAGTTTAATTTTATATTACCTTGTTAAATGTTTATTTTTACAAAAAGCTTAGAATTTCTTTTAGTAATAACAATCTAAAAACCATTTTACCGACCCTACCCGGTCATCCCACGAATCGCAACGAACATTACGTGACGTGGCCAACCGGAAAGCGTCCTTTTCGAAATCAAACGGTCATAAAAACTCCTCCCACATTTTCTTGACCTTCCGTGGTCCCCACTAACTCGACGAATCCGCGCCAAATTTCCATTTTTCGCGATTTTATTTTGCACCGTCCGGATACTATGAAAGCTTCTTCCTCCATTTCCATTCCTTCTCCTCTCCTCGCACTGCTTGTAATCTTCAGTTTACTCTCCAGTCTCCACCGCGGTACTCACTCCGGCGAACGCATTTCAGTATATGGGAAAGGTCAAGATCGGAATCAACGGTACACAATTCCATCGCATTAATTCTTGTTATCTCTTCGTTACTCGATATTCATTAGTTGTTCTTCCGAAAACTGAAATTTAATTTTTGGTTTTATGTAAAGGATTTGGAAGGATTGGGCGTTTGGTGGCCAGGGTTGCGCTGCAGAGAGATGATGTCGAGCTCGTTGCTGTCAATGATCCCTTCATTTCCACCGATTACATGGTGTGTGTGATGTGTTTATACTGTGTTTGTGTTGGGATATGCATGAATGATCAAAGTACATTTTTTGCTTGTTTATAAGTGCTGAAGATTCATGATGAAATGACAATTAGATTTTTTTTTTTAATAAAAAAGATAGGAATTTAAAATGAAAAATCCACAGCATTTTCTTTTAACTTGAAAAGTTAG